TGCCACCCAATTTTTTTCTTGATCTTAATACTATAGATCATTGCCTTTTCAATCAGCATCCCAAAACAATTCTTATACCCGCAGTGTGTAGCATATAGATAGAATAATATGACATACATACCTAAATTGAGCTATTTGGTACCTTGCAGCAATAAGTCCCTATACCAAAAACCTCTCTATGAAAGTCCATCAAACTTTCAGGATCTATACTCACTAACAATATCTGCTACCCTATAAAGTTTCATTAATCTACTCTCTTTAGTTTAGTTGTACCCCATAATTGAAAAGTGGCCTAAAAATGATGATTTTTTTGGCTTTTTTCGGTCTTAAAATTTCAGATTTTTTTCTACACTCTAAAAATGGTTCGATTGATCTAAAATTGTGCCAGTGGGGTTTGGAGGGGTTACCCATCATACATAAAAAAATGGTGAAAATCGGTCACCCACCATGTGCCGGTCCCTGCATGGTTCTCTTGCAAACGCATTCTTAACAGGGGTGAGAAATTGACTGAAAGGTGATTTAATTATCACTAAGGGTGAAAATCTCCGTGACGGTGCGTTTTCTGTACTGGGTGTGTTACTTAACGGACGGGTTAAAAACGTCTGACACGGTGTTTATTTTTTGTTTAGTGATTTTTCTCGAAAGCGTGTTATATCTGCAGCAAAGGTGTTTTCGATTGATTATATGTAAAAAGTACAATGTACAAAGTCAAAATACCTCGAAGTTAAATGTAAAACGTCAAAAGTAATGTGTCAAATGACAAATGTCTTATTGGAAAATGCTGGGTTTTTTTTATTGACGTGTCAACATTTTACATTTCTCTCATTACATTTTACATTTGCACTCTGTCGTTCACCTCGTTTGTGCTTCACGCTTTCTGCATAGCATCTAACGCACAGCGCTCTTTTTGATATTATGCAAATCTAGAATATCACGTGACTACAAAAACGACGCCGAGATCAACCTGGCACATTGTTACATAATATCTAGAATTTCGTATTAAGACCCGTATTTTTATAATTGCATACGCCACCCCTTCTTGTAACCATGGAAATAGAGTTTAATACCATCCAATTTTAATCATTTGTCAAGGTTAAGTAAATTTCTTATAGTGTAACAGGTTGATTTCTTTTTGTCGTGTGGTTGATATCTTTATAGTGTGCTGGCTTATAGTGTGCCAGGTTAATCGTAACAATACGATTATATAGAGAATCTCCTACCAGTCTTTTTTGATATCAAAAAATATCAACACAAGTTGATAAAGTAACAAAAAACGAGGCTCTGCCGAGGTTTTTTTTACTTTATCAACGAGTGTTGATATTTTTTGATATCAAAAAAGACGAGTAGGAGATTTTATTTATCACCCAATCTCTTCCTACATGCACAATTAGATAAATGCCGAGGTTTTTTTTACTTTATCAACGAGTGTTGATATTTTTTGATATCAAAAAAGACGAGTAGGAGATTTTATTTATCACCCAATCTCTTCCTACATGCACAATTAGATAAATATAATTCTTTGCCGTAGATTTCACTTTTACTGAACATTACGGCGTAGTGGCCCTGGTGTGAGCGTATGTGGCATGGAGATAGGGGCGCCTTCTCAACTTCGTGGGTTTCCTCCGGGCACTCCGGTTTCCTCCCACTGCTAAAGACCTCTACGCGCAAGCGAATTATTGAAATAAAATTAAACCATATGTTAGTCCCGAAATGACCTAGTTGTGTCGAGTGGACGTTAAACCCCATTTCTCTCTCTCTCTCTCTCACGGCGTAGTGATACATCATTTTTGACAGCAATTCAACCATTGAAAAGTACTTAATATTGACCCAGTGTTTTTATCAAGGACAATCGAATAACAATAGTTCATTTTTAATAAAAAAAAAGTTACTTTTAATAAGAAATGAACTGTTCTTTGAAAATAAAAAAAGTAGTTCCGTTTCAACTGACCATGAAATATATCACACAAGTGATATCTACTGTAGAATGTATTATTGGGTGATAAAAATAGATTCTACACTACATCTTTAAAAAACTTCAAACACTTAAAACTTCGATCAGAATAAAGTAATTTGAATGAAATGTTCAATATATTGATTTTACATTATCTATTTTAAAACTATTATAGCAAGAACGACCGTCTCTTTATCTAAATGTATTGAGAGGAAGAAATCTACAAATTGGAAGAGAGCGATGAAACTGACAATAGATTCGTTCTATCAAGTTCGATGATAGAATTTTCTGCTTAGGCTAGGTAGCGATAAGCAATTTGATTGGTCAAGACTTTGGAACATAACAATTCTGATAATTGAAGTATAGATGTTCATTAGGCGAATATCTTGACTGAGTTCAATGATTAATATTTCTCATTAAAGCTAAGCAGAGCTAAGCAATTTCTTTGGTCGATGCTTTGGGACAAGATAACTTTGATTCAAACTGATAGAGAGTGATGAAACTTAGTGTATAGTTTCACTCACTACCAGGTACTGCAATACCTGAGTTTTATGCTTAGACTAAGTATAGATAATCAGTTTGATTAATCGATATTTTTGAAAAAGATAAATGTGCAATTAATTAATATGTGTCATCTGATCCCGGGTGACACAAAAAAAGCGTTCATCACCTAAACTTGAATAACGAAGAGGGGTCGTCAGGGACCTCCAGTGGTTCCAGCAGGATGGTGCCCCCCCCCCCACCTCAAACGAATCATTGGCATGGCTACAGCAGCGTTTCCCTGACCGACTGATCAGCCGCAGGTGTGACCCGGAGTGGTCGCCGCATTCACCGGACTTGAACGCCCTAGATTTTTATCTGTGGGGATACCTTATAGGCAGGGTGTATGGCAACAACCCCCAGACTATCCCTGATCTGAAGGCAGCAATCACAGCAGCAATAAAAGCGATCCCAAGGGAAGAATTGTGGGAGGGTCATCGAGAACTTTGCCCGCCGGATCCAAATGTGCTTGCAGCACCGGGGAGCTCATTTAGAGCACATTTCTTGAGCGCCAGTTAAACAAAGAGTTTTTGGGGTACAGACTTGAAACTTTGGAGATGTCTGCTACATAGACTTAACCTAGTGTAGCTGAATTTTTGTGTTAATCTAAATAAAATTTTGGAAGTTATTCGATTTTTATTGATGAACGTTTTTTTTTCGTGTCACCCTGTATTTGGATTTTGGCGGTGGACATCAGCCTCGCTGTTGGCTTGTTTCTATACATGTTTATATACATGTCCGCAAGTTCGTCCGCCTACAAATATTGATTATGTACTGAAAATGAAATGAAAAGAGGTCAGCGTCTGACTTTGCTGCACCTACCAGGCTAATGAAAACAGGCGTACTTTATGCAGTGTGCCCTGAGTAAAGTTATGTCTGGTGAATGCATGTACATACTCTTTGTAGAATTCCGACTGTTAAGGGGTTTCTTTTACGTGTACGCCATCGTGTACGCGGGACCGCACATTCGCGTCCAAATTGATTGACTGGTGCTGTTCCTTTCCATGCCCTCTGTCCTGTAACACCGACAAGGGGAAACTGTAAAACTGTAAAATCTTTCTCGGCCAAAACTGGACCAAATTCGAGATCTCCTGGTTAGGGATACGGCACCTTTAACACTGGGCCTCCGTAATTGTGCACACTTTATACTATACGGGCTTCAATTTTCAATTTTCAATTAATACTGTTTGAGTGTTCATTACAATTTCTTCAAATATGGCATCCTTTCGCCATATTGTTATAGTCTGTTTGATGGATTTTTATAATTGAATTTTTGAGGTTATTCCGATTTATTTTGAATAATGTTCGTGTGGTCTGTATGTTCAGGGTAGGTCTATGGGGTATTTGACGTCATTGTAACTCCTTTGTCGCCTATTGGGGAGTACTTATGTTATGGCTTCTTCTCGAAACTTCTTTCATGATTTTAACCAAGTTTATTAAGAATTTTACATGAACAGTTTTTATTTAGATTTTTTCAAATGAAGACAAGTACTGTTAGTTGTGTGAGAACAATGTGATATGGACGTGGTGTTTTGCGGTAAGAACAATGGTCCCACCTTTGAATCACAGCGTGGAGTTCACAAAGCATTCTCAGATTTAAGTTAAGAACTTACTCGACTTTCAATCACTGTTTATGAGAAATATTTTTGATTCAGAAACACAAAACTTTGCACATAGTTTCTTAGTGATGTATTTGATACATTAAAACAACCAAAGTTTAATAAAGGCCTATATTTTAGTTAAAATAGCATGTAAAATTGTGAGTAAATTCTGAAGTCTGAGAATGTCTTGTGAACTCGGGGACAGGTTCTCGCTTGTTAAGATCGGTGTCTGCGGAGCTGGGGGTATTCCTAGGTTATCGGGTAGGACTTATATAAACATGAAGAAGGGCAGGCAGAAAGGCCGGACAATATTCCTATTCACATTGCACACATAATATTTCCACTTAGAATGACAGAAGTAATGTCGATGAGACAATCCCATTCTGTTCCACTGGGGGTGACGCTGGCTAAGTGGGTAAGACGCTGGCTCGCTAGCCTGGAGGTCGGGTGTTCGATCCGTGCATTGGCTAAGAAGAAAGTTCATCCAGATTTTCCGGCGTGGTTCCCCTTGTCAGTGATGCAGGATGGGACGAAAAAACGAGGCCCCATGTACACATTGGCGTGCACGTAAAAGATCCCTTGACAGTTGGAATTCGATATAAGAGTTGGCCGTAGTGCCGCTGTCCTGGCAAAATGTCCCTTATAGCACATTGTATGGCGTATGCCCGTCTTCATTAGCCCAGTTCGGAGCAAAACAGTAGGACGTTAAACCCCATTTCATTTCATTTCATGTCTGTTCTACTGGTGTCGGCCAGGACAGCTGTGTGATTATTAGTAAGTATGGGATTACGGGAACATTTGATTTTATTTATTTCAACACCAGCCAATCATAAAGACGCCGACCCTGAAATTTTATTTTTAATTCTTAAACAATACCGGAAATAAAATAATAAACAAAGACTAACCAATGCGATTGGAACTTTTATTTATCCTTCATTTCCAGCAAAACAAAATCACACACTTGTAAGAAAAAAAAATTCTTTAATAGTTTTTTTGGTATTATTATTATTTTTTTAATGGTTTAACAATAGTTGCCTTTATTGATTAATAATAAAAGCGGTTAGCTTAATTAAAGTTGTTCATTAAGTAAATAAATGAATAAATAATGTTAATTATTTTTGCGCAATGATTTATTTTGATTGACATGAATAATGAGATCAATTGATAAAATCCGCCCTTCATATGAATAAAAACTAGCACGCAACACACCCAACGATTAACCAATGAATTCCAGATAGCGCTTTTGGGCTTGAGCTCTTTTGCCAACAAATTCTGGTCGTCGTAATCGTAATCGCTTACTGAGGTACTCTGAAATGGATGTTTTATCGAATCTTTTGTCATCTGTATCGTCAACATCGGAACGCTTGCCGATAAATTCCGCATAGCGCTTATCTAAGTTTCTTTTCCCAACGAACTCCAAATATCTTTTACTGACATGACTGGGGCCTCGACCCAGAAACCCTAACGCGTTTGAAGCGTCCAAATTCAAAAATCGAGAACCTGTCGGCTTTGTCATCTCCGTATCCCACAACTGTAAATTAGGTTCATCCATTTTAGCATTGTCTGCAGCTTTGTGTAGATCATCAAAAGGGACATAAATCTTGGTATGTACATCATCTAGATAATGAAAAAGAGCAAAACGAATAATAACAAGATGGTATTTTTATCTCCAGTAAATCAACACAAAACATACAATTTTTAAAGGAGAAAATAAATAACAAATAATAGAACGATGTGAAACGTGTACACAAAGTTTTAAATATAGCGTCTTTCTTTCTCTATTATTCTAATCATTAAAGTTCAAGGCACACACATTAGCGCTCTTTAGGAAAGAAATGGTATAGTTAACATTTCCAAGTTCTTTTCTTATATTAGCATTATCCTTATTCATCATGCCAGCGACATCAATCAAAACATTAGCTATTATCTCGTGCAGCAATATTTGATTTCCATTGCAAAAAAAAAAAAAAAAAAAAAAAAAAAAAAGAAAAAAAAAGATTGTCAGTATGTACAGCACGAGTGCAGAAAATGCGTCACTTTACTTGAAAATGTTATCACTACCGCTGTAGCTCGTTGACCTCGGCACTCTGTGCGCTTAACGTCGAATCGCTTCGTTTTCCAACAAAAAGAGGCGCCTCAAATCGCTTATCAGTTTGCATAAGCCGCCTGTATTCTCTGTAAGCCTGCAGCGTAGCTAGTAAATCCCTGAATGATTCTTCTTTTCGCTTGCCGATAAATGCAGGAACATCAATGCCGCGTTTACCAACAAAACTGGGTACGTCATAAGCTCTTCGACCCACAAACATAGGTTGACCAAAACCCCTTTTCTCATTATCACTAGGAATATCATAGTCTCTTTTGCCAACAAATGCTGGAACACTGTAACCCCTCTTTCCAACAAATTGTGGTGCAGAGAAACCCCTTTTGCCAACGAATTGCGGTGGTCCGAATGCGCGTCGTCCAACAAATTGCGGCGCAGCATACCCCCGCTTTCCAAGGAACTGAGGTATGTCATATTTTCGCTTGCCAACAAACTGAGGAATACCATAGCGCTTGCCAACGAACTGAGGAATCCCATAGCGCTTGCCAACGAATTGGGGAATGTTGTAACCTCGCTTGCCAAGAAATTGGGGTACGTCAAATCCTCGTTTGCTTGAAAGTTGTTGAAATTCTCCTGAGGCTTCCGCACTGTCATCGCCATTATCTAAACTGACTGACCTCCTTAATCGCTGATTAAATGCGGTATAATGCTGGCTGTTACGTTTGCCTAAGAAAAGTGGTGCTTCGTAGGATCGTCTGTGTTGGGTTTGGGGATAATTAGTGATTTTAGTATTCACTGCGAGATTCTCACTATCGGGAAGAAGATAATTCCATTTATTATTTTCTATGGACGGATGTGCAGGGCGCGCGCCGCTGTTCAGAGCTATCTTTCCTTGGCCAGAATGCGCTGCAGGGACCGGGCGAACGGGTAGCACTGGATTTAAGACTTTCTCAGCACCTGTAAAAACCAACAAATCTTTCATTAAAAAGCTGAACCTTTAAACAAATAACACATTTAAATGTACCCAATGCTTTTAATATATAATTGCTTTTGATCTACACAATAATTATTGACTCAATCATTTCAAGCGATAATGGAGTTAGCTAGAGTACATGGAAGAGCAGCATTAATCACTGGTTTTTATTTGGTTTAATGTGATATTTGTTTAGATGTACATTTTTGAGTAATGAAGATAAAACGCCTTGTATAAGTTTTAATTTGTAACTAAGGAGCCACTATTTACGTAATTCTGGTCGACATTACTCATACGTGATATCAATAAAATGCTTCGTTCACATCTCACCAGTCCAATGGTTCTATGCGTACACGAATAATGTGCTACTGATTTATTGTCGTGTACCCCCCCCCCCCCCTCGTCCGCCCCTCGTCTTTTTCTGACAAGTAGGACGTCAAACTCCATCCATTTCATTTGACAATAAACTCTCTAATATCAAAATTTAGATTAGGTGAGTGGAACGGTGGATTTTGACTACTCCGCCAAACTCTCAAAGTTATAACAACTCAACGCAACCTCATGTGAATGCACATGACTATGCTATTCCATAATGTAGCCTCAATTGTGAAATATGAACTCATTGATTTAAGAGTTAAACTAGCGGAATACTATCAAGGGATCCCGGATGCTATTACCGGTGTTTAGTATTCAGTTCTTGAGCTAACCCGGACCAGTTACACCATTGCTGTATTTTGCATTGGTATTGTACTAGGATATAATCCGTGCCACCAAAGATCATATTATAATAACGTGTAGGTGCAACCGATAAAGCATTGCCAACAAATGTCCTTTAGTAATCCGCACATGCAACAAATAAAATAACATTGTCAGCAAAGATCGAGTTATATAGTGCACGGAGGCAACACATAACCATACCCAGCAAACAGCATGTTATAAAGCGCGGATGCAACACATAATCAGTGCCAGCAAATATCATGTTATAATGCGCTGACGCAACAATTGAGCATAGCCAGCGAATACCATGTTATAATGCGTATATGCAGCAAATAAACATTGTGTAGGAAAAGTGTCTGCACTCGTTGCGTTTGTGCTTTATCCATTATAAGAAAACAAACAAAAAAGAAACAATGAATACGTACCAAGAGCTTGAACTAATGCTAACAGTGTTCCAACAACAACAACAACACCAGAGACAAATATAGACCTCATTTCTAAATAACAAAACACAAAGCCTTCTTTAACGTCTCTCTGAAAACAGAAAATAATATTTATGAAATTAAACAAACAGTGTAAAACTGAACTACATGAAAAGACGTATCGGGGATTCATACACTGTCTCGGGCACAATACTGGCCATTGCTTTATAGTTTATATGGCCCATGGTTTGGATTCAAATCAGTAAAATGTAACGGAGATGCCTATACAGAGTGTCCAATCCCCACACGCGCGAATGAGAATGACACTAAAAATTCAGGGTAGCTGCTTTCGGCGTACTGTTTTTTAAGCTTTGATATATGTAATGGTTATCATATATTGCGTAATACATGTCGTACTTAAAAAGATTGAAAATAAATGTCTTAATGGTAATATACATGTACGTTTTTGTACGGAAATAAATCATATTATAATCTAATTACAAGAGCAATACAATTACTGCAGCATTGTTATTTGTCTAAGAGTATGCTTGATGATAAGGACACATCTCCACGTAGGAAGTCTACGATTTTACGTTTGTTAAATGGATATCTGTATTTGGTTACCCCCAAAACTATAACATACAAAATATAAATATAAATTATCGCTAGTGATTTGGAATCAGTGGAAACTAATGTAATACACAAATCAGCCTAATTTTCATTTCGCAAAACTTTCTGCTTTATCCGTCGTTATAAAGGCCAGTTGTTACCTCAAGGATAACTCATTTATATTCATGAACATCGAGACCATGGTTTTTTTTACTATCGTAAAGAACGTCTTTTAGCCCCTGTTCTTCTTAAATTTGATTTAATCGCCTAGATTAATATATATCTAAAAAAAAAACTAACTTATAGCCCCTATTGTTAATAAAATCAAATATTGAAAATGTTTATCATTTTTCTATGGCATCGCCGCTTTAAAGTGTATCTGATATTCTCTCTGCTGAAATGGAATGTGTCGCAATAACTCAAGTCAAGGCGACAAACTGGCAACTCAACCTTTTACTGATTTGGTTTGCGGCAAAAATATCATTTATTATTACCACACACCGATTTACTTGCAAACAGAGTGTCATTTTAATTGTCTTCAATATTGAAAAATGTATTGAAAACAGCCCCGGGTTTAAAAAAAAACTGCGTTTATGTTATTGTATTAAAAACCATAATTTATAAAATGTCACTTAATACATATACATTTTCATAATATGAATAAATTCGTCTGAAAGCATCTTTGATATATTTTAATTTTATATTACTGTTCAATTCTCGTTAGAGGGCAAATATTATTAGCCTGTCCTTTGAAACCTTAATATAGACGAAAATGGAATGAAAAGCACACATTAATGTAATATGAATACTGATTTACATTCAATTCAATGGGCAAATGGTTAACGCGTCCGCGCTGGATCATAAGGTCTGCCATTGAGTCAACTGGCGTGGTTTCGATTCCTCGGTTGTACGTGACAAGGAGTAGGGTCGCCTGTCTAACCTCGTGGGTTTTCTCCTGTGCCTTGGATTTCCTCCCACCGTTATAGACCCCTACGCGCAAGCGAATTATTGAAATAAAAGGGAACCATATGTTAGTCCCGAAATGACCTAGTTTCTGTCGAGTGGACGTCACCCCCCCCCCCCACACCTCTTTAACCACCGGTTATAATCAAACGTTTTGAAAAGTAAATAACAAACATATATTCCCAGTGCTTCGCTTAATGTCAAGTTCGTTTGACACTTTAATGGTAGTTTTTATTATTAGTTCTTATTTTGTTTTTAACTACCGGCATACTTTCAGATTGTGATCTATTTCAGAATTCAGTGAATTGCAAACTAACGTCCTCAATTTATCCTTTCCGGCATATTTTTTCATTATCTCTCGTTCTAATATTGCATTCTCAGAAATTGTACAGTTCATTATAAACGAAATATTTGTGATCGCGGTTATAGGAGGTAAATCTTTGTGATGTATAAGGTTTAAAGTAAAATGCCTTCAACTTCTCGTTAGACACCATTCTATGTCCGATGTTAACCCGCCCCTAACTGAGGGTCACATCATCAAGGCCATTTATTAATATTAACACTCGCTTGTATTGTAGTATAGAGTCATGCAATCTCCGGACCTGTCTTGTCAACAAAATCTAAAGAAATAATGTGTCTAAAAATACTGGGATTTCCACAATAAAATACAAACACCCAAAAGACAGTCTAAACTTTAAAGAAGTTGCAATCTGCAAATCAATAAAGGTTTTAAAAATGAGAAATTAAATAAAGTTAAATATACATTACATTATCTACCTCAATATTAATTGTAGTGATTTTAGACATAAGCTGAAGTAATTGGTAATTCATAATAGCTCTTTGAATAGTTGGACTACGTGTATTTCGAAATCCGCCAACCTGTCAGGAATTCACCTTTCGAATATAGAATCGTTTATTTCAATTGGTCAACTACATAACATTCTCAAAATGTGAACTCGGGGCCTAAATTTGTTGACACTGAAACGCGTGTGTGACACCATTTCGCGATCTTAAACATTCAGACTTTCCCCAATGGTCACCGGAAGACCCTAGCTAACGAAAGAGCCATCGACTTTCTGCGGTGTACTTTTGTACCGTAGTTACAGATTGTGTATAACGTTAGTGTATAATTAAAAATAATGGATATGATTAAGACATGCGCTATCAGTCTAGATACTATAATTAATAGCTACACGTAATCGCGATGATTATAAAGGCACACTCTAAGAAATCACTGCCTTCTCTTTTTCTAGTCTATATTTTTCAGAAGAGTTATTAATGAACTTTATAATGTATGTAAACATGAAAATTGTCTCTAGCTATAAACAAATGCAATATAATGGCATGGGTTAATATGATATTTTGGTTATTGTGCATGTAAGAAGGAATCATCATATACATAATAGATCCAGCTAATATTGTTATTTCAATATTGTGATATATCGCTTATTTTGAAAAGAAAAAAAGTAAAAAGGAACCGACAATAACTTTTGAACCTTTTCGTAAAGTCGAACATTTTCTATGTCTTAAGTAAATAACAAATAGGTTTAGAAGAGATCTTGTTACGGTCTGTCAATTTCTTTTTGTTTTATTTCCCTCCATTTAATAATTCTGGTTGCCCTTGCTACATTACCACCTCGGTCAAGAAACACGAAAGACATACTATGAATTAAAAGTATCATACTATGAATTAAAAGTATAACGTGATACCTGCAAAACATTCATTTTCGGATTTAGACAAAGAATAAATATAGCTTCACCCCGGACAATAAACCCGCGCAAATTGGCAGTGCACGTAAAATATCCCTCGATACTTGCAAATGTGAAAAGAGTAGATAGGTCGCTATAACTAACTACAGTACAGAAAATAACAATTACCGATGATGAAAGAGACTAGACTGTATGCCAGCTTTAATAACAAATGCAATTTGGATAGTGTGGGGATAATTGTTGTGATGTTTTCCCCCAACATTCATATCAGATAATGTGTGTCTCAATTCAACTGGGCATCCCTTCTTCTCTAAACTACATGAAACGCTTGCTTTCTTTTCTTCCCGGGACGGACGTTTATTAGGATCGGGTATAGAGGTTTAGAACCAGGAATTGGGTCCAAAGTGCTACTCATGTTGTTCTTTTTTTCGTGCTCTTCGAAAAAAAGCCTAAGACTCCGCCAATTCAGGTACGATCAATAATATGATACTTTAGCATGCTTGTTCTTTTGGCAACTACGCATCAATTTAAGGAGTGATCGATTTTTGATATGACGTGACAACTCCAAGATGGCGGTTATGACCTCATTCTCGGTTCCTGGTCCATAGTACGCTCATACTTGTTTATGGTATTTGTCGAAAATCGTTAAGCTTATACAACGCAATCAATACAGAAAAATAGATTCATTTGTTACGTAATAATGTTTCGTCTGTTCGAGAGAACATAGCTTCCATTTGCTTGAAAACGTTGAGAGAATCCTCAACGAAACGTCGCTTTACTTAATAGAGTAATTGTGTTCCATATCATGTTTTTGTGTTTAAGTATAGAATCCTTATTTATGACAGTAATTCCCTGTAATTTGACGTTAACGAATGAAAAAGCCGTTAAAATGTGTTTTCCTCTTTCCTCCCCCATTCTTCTGAATTCCCAAGAAATGGTGAATGTATACAAGAGATGAAGAGTTGTAATTTTGCTTCCATTCTATAAAAATCCAAACCCATCTTATAACTCTCAGTGAACTTACTATCATAGGCTAAATATTCCAAAAACGACAGTGTCATCTCCTGATATTCCAGGCTATTCCAAGTTGCATTGCACAGCATATTTTAAGCTATTATCCGTCGTATTAATGAAATCTTCGCGCCCTAGTATGTTGGGTCTGAATCAATCTGATTACCAAACGCACTTTGGCCCCGAAATGTTATATAACAGAGGCGGATCCAGGGGGGGGGGGGGGCGCGCCCCTAATTTTCGACAGTCGACACAAACACACCAGTCTGGTCTAATTAATGCTTCCACTTTCAAACGAATTCTTGTTGTTTAGCTGGCGGTGTCCTAATCCTATAGAGTGACTATAGACAGATATCAATGATAACATCTTGTGGAATCGGCGGCGTAAACACTCGTGCCCATCACCGACGCGCATGAGTGCAACTTGATGTAGCATTGTTTCATGTGTGGACAGTACACAGTACACGTAACAAGGCTTAAATAGTGAAGTGGCTAGGGAATAGATTCGTCTTTTTCCCCATCATAATGCCTCGCTCGCCTTGACAATTTTCGAGTCGCATGTTCAACTGGCTTTTTTGCTCGATTTTAAGGCTCTTTTTCAACGATTTCCGAGCGTTTACTTAGACGAAAATGTCAGCCAAATAGCTCTTGGAATGGCTACAGATGCAAGGAAATAACGGATAAAAAATAACCCCTCTCAGCAGCGTGCCCCGTCTCCGCGGTCAGTGCCCTCATTTTGCGGATCCCCCCCCCCCTTTTCAAAATTCCTAGATCCGCCCCTGTATAATAGTTTGTCAATTGAAATGTTTGTATGTGCAT